ATAAGCTAATGGTGCTCAAACTGTGGCTCCCAGACTAAAATTGTCCTGCGGCATTCATCATAGAAACATCACAGAAGCTAGAACTTTACATACCAACTAATTATACTTACCACATAACTTCCAACATCTGCAAATGAATTTTCAAACATAAATGTTTTCAGCTTTGTTTGAAGGACCTTTCAGGTGAAACAACAAGATAGAATTATATTTCTACTGGGCTTCTATATGTTCTAAGTATGTTCTATTTTATATATATTCCAAATATACAAAAAGTAGGCTCATTTCTATCATTTATAAGTGATGTGTCAAATATATTTGTGGACTGGATTAACATGTACCAAAGGCCAAAGCCAGGAGCTGTTTGAAAACTCAGCACATTGGAAGTTGTGTGACAAGTGTAAATTAGTTCTCATTTGTCATAATGACAACTTGTTACAGATAAGAAAATTTTCTTTATATTAATTCAAGTTAATAAGTATAGTTATCACTTTAAAGAATTAAACGATAAACACAAAGATGATAGCATATTGCTTGCCAAAAATTAACTAAAATTTTGTCTATTTAAAAGCACAATTAATACTTATTTTATTTTTACGGTATTAATTTTTCAATGAAGTTACTTATAACAGTAAGTTAATAATACAGTTTGGGCACCACCGATATATGCTATAAGAATGTTTCAGGACAGAAAATGTATATAATCTTAATTGATTCACAACATAAAAAGATGGGAATAGTGTGGCTAAACACCAACCTTGACTGCCTTTACCCATTAAAATTTACTTGACAATGACATTATTTATTGTTTTTTGGCATAATGACCTATAAAGACTGTTGTACTAAAAAATCCGGCAATCACTAAAGTATAAGTCTATACCATTTGGTGTAGTAAGGAGACATTTCATGTGAGCCAATTGTCTCCAAATAACCACACAAATATTTATTATTAGACTCAAAAAAATATAGTCTTTAAATTCCTAAAATTGAAAATAAAAGTTTATCTTTCATTTTATATACTTGAAAAAATACACTTTTGAGTATAATTCTGGTCTTGTTTATCTTTCCAATAAACATTTTTGGCTTCAAGTCACTTAAAATCTTTGATAGACCTGAAGCAGGCTTATCAAAGGAATCGAAAGCATTTTTCAGAAGATTATCAAGACCAGAATTATATTCAAAGGTGTGTTTTTCTCAAATATTTAAATGTTATTCCTGCTTGGATTCTAAATTCATTTTATATTTTTATTATAAAAAATACAATACTAATTTATTGTGTGTCTTTTTTTGAAGTTGTAATGAGTAGTCAACAGACATAATTCATTTATCTGATTAACAGCAACAAATTCCAAAGTGATTTTTGTCTATTCAAGACTTAAATACAACCAGTAACATATGGTATACTGTCCACTACTTTTCCTGCTACAGGCTATGCAAAACATCAACTTTACATTGTGATCACTTTGTGACCATTAACCAATAATCTGCAATTCATTCATCCTCTCCAAGAAATATGCTCTTAATGAGGTGAGTTTTATGCCATTTAATTCTCAAAATATGAAGAGAGAGAGGTATGAGAAAAGAACAAAGAATGTGTTCTGGAAATTCTGAATACATTTTTGAATGTTGTGATATCTATTTATATCATAACATTTAGGAAGAAATGAAATTCTTTAATGAATTTAGTAACACAAACAGAATATTTCACTATTGAAAGGAATAGGAATGCTTCAGAAAAATGTAAAACAACATATAAATGATAAAGATGTATAAATGCATTTCACTAAACAGGGTAATTCAAAAAGTCTTAGACAAACTGTAAAGATAGATCAGGAAATATAAACATCACAAACCTGATAGTTACATATTAAAGCCAAACAATTGCCAAATTATATCAGGCTACATTATTACTACTATTATTAATTAAATGCTAAGGAATTTGGGACAAGAGGTAGGCATTAGGCACTCCAGATTTCATTCCAGAAGAAAAGAAACACCTCAAAGAGGTACTCGAATCCACAACTTCTGCTTACTGCATTGCCAGTTACACTACTGGGATTGTGTGGGTTTGAGTCCCACTTCAGGTCGATTCTTTTCTTCTGAAACTTTTTAAATTAATTATTACAATATTAATTTTATTATAATTATTAAATTATGCAAGAGATGGAATCTAACATCTACCTCTAGAGCCAATTTACTTAGCATTTAATAATAATAGTAATAATATAGCCTGATAAAGTTCAGCAATTGTTTGACCAGGAATACAAAAACAAACCATTTTTACTTAGAGACTTATAGACACAAATGCCACCTGAGTGTTCTAATAAACACGTCGTATACCTTACATTTATTCCCTTCTGCATGATTTCCTGTACTTCTAGCAACTCTGGGCAGTGTATACAGCTATGTTCCTAGGTAAAAATAATTTGATTCTATATACCTTTAAATTTCGTCTATGACCTTTTGAATCGCCCTGTACAGTGTCAGACACAAGTAGTAAATAGAGAATGTGAGAAAAAACACCATACTAGACAATGGAAATGCTACAAATTCCTTGAAAAAAAAAATTTGTATATTTCATTTTGTTAAATAAGAAATAATTAAATTATACAGCAATTATTTGATAATCTTTTTTAGACATAATCTGAGAAAACTATCCATCACTAATAAGGGAGTTATTTGTAGAGAAAATATGTATAAAATGTTTCTTAAATATTACAGAAATATGTATTTATTATGATATCACAAAGAATCATCATCACTAACATATTCAATTCTTCTATAAATTTAATTTTCATATTTCATTTCAATAATTTTAATCTGAATTATGATAAAATGAAGTCCACAATCTAGTAAATTTTATCATGTTATAATCTAAATGGATATTTCATAAAGTGTTACTAATTTTATGAAATTTAACAATTTTTTGTTATATTTTTTTTATATCTTCAATATTTTAAATATATCAATATTACAATTGTTTAAGGAATGGTCCCATATCTTTTCAAAATTAAATACTGTTCAGTAAAATACTTAAATATTTACTTGTAAAATTTATAAGTATTTTTTTCATTTAAATATTCATAAAACATTAAACTAATATATAAAAAAAAGATTCATGCTTTACATTTAAGGAAAATAATTACAAAGAGATTAACTTTTTGATAAAATTAAATTCATAATAAAGAGCAACTCGAGGCTAAGAAGCGATATCCTGTATCTGCAAAATGCTACTGTAGTTTATTAAAAAAATAACGCAGCAAGAACTCGTAACTATTATATTATTATGTTAAAAAATGGGACAGTCACCAATACATTGTCCTCAAAGGGCAGAAAAATAAATAAAAAGTTTGTCTATTTTGAGAAAATTCAATTTTTAAAAGTTTTTTTTTGCTTCTCCTGTAAACTTGCAAGTTTGCAGATATGAGGTATCATTTCTTAGCCATCAAACTGAAAATTCTATCGAGTTTTTAAATGAATTTAATTATTTCTTACTAATTGCTATCTTATGGATTTTCGTAATTTGATTAACAAGCCAATCTCTCTCAATATGAGAAAATTTTTAAAAGTATTATTGCAGGAGTCATAATGTATTTAATTCCAAAAAATTCTATAATGAGTTCAGATAAGCAGTGGTAAATTAACTTTCATCTTTCAAAAGTAAATTATTATTATTTGAAATAGGCCTAAACATTACATTTTTTAGAAGAATCACTTTACCCACATTAAGTTTAATTACTACAAGAACTGCTTGAAATGGCTTAGAAAATAAATGTTTCATAAAATGCATTTCTGATTTTATTTTATGATAATATGATCAGAGCCATGGCTAGAGCAATTGGCACTGGGGGAAACTTAAATATGACACCAAACACTTCATAAATATAATGCATATTATATTTCAATAACAATGGGCACATCCCCCATTGCCCTTGCCTTTCCATGGCCCTGTTTGTGATTATTTCTAATTTTAATATTTGTTGTAATCATTTAAATACATTTCCCTATTTAAAGTCTATGATAAAAAACTCAAGTCCCATCCAATGATAATCACAACTTGGATTGAATTATTGAAGTAAAAAGTTTAAATAATTTTCAACAAACATTTTCTTATCCTTGTAACCTTAATCAAAAATTAAGTATATACACACATTTGTGTTTAAGAAGAAAAGAACATATAAAACTTAAAAATATTTAAAACTAAATGGAAATAAAATGTAAACATTTTTTTGCTAATCATGACTATTTATCACCAATGAAACCTCCTTAAAAATCATATATTATAAAAAATTAATAACTGATATACAGTGAAAAAATATAGTTTACTTTTTTATGCATTTTTCATTTTTTTTTTGTTTTTTATTTATCATTTGTTAAAAGTACTATTTGTTTTTACCTATTTGTTACGATCAATATAAAGCACAGAACATTTCAAGGCAAATATTTGGTTCCTTTGAATGAAACATAGACTGTAGCAACAACTCTGACAATACTGAGGAAGAGCAGGGTGCTGCCATACAGGTGGAGAGAGCATACCTCTGAATGAGCGTACTCTAAATCCTCATGTATACATCATCACATACATGCATTGAATGCCTAAGTCTATATTTCATTTGAAGGAACTGAATCGGAACTATTGTACATACTCCTACATCTAGAAGATATGATATTCTTAACTATACTTTAATCTATTTATAGATTTGAAAAGCACTGACACAACAAAACAGCATAGAATTTAATTATAAAACAAATTTTAATAATTTGTGTCAACAGCTATTTAAAATTTTATCAATGGTCTACATTCAAACTACTTAAGCTATAACAGTGTAATAACAATTGAAACAAGATGAATTTAGTAACATATTTAAACTGTGGTAACAGTTAATGAATTTTAAATTAACTTACAATTTAATAAAAACGTTAGTAAAATCAAAATAAAATTTATTTTATGGAACATAAATTTAGAAAATCTTCAAATAAAAATATGAGAATGAAAACCTTATTCAAATCTGTAATTAAAACCAAAGTTAACCTATTAATTTAATAATAATCCTATCAATTTACTCATATTTTTTCTAAAAATGAAATATAATTAACTTTCATTTGTTTGAAATACCAACTTTTATAGAAACCTACATGTAGCATGAAATAAAACCTATCTCTAATGTGCCATATTCACAAATTCCTACTAATTTGAATACCAAAAAATCAAAATATTGGTAAAATTTTAGTTTAAAATTCTTTGCAAAGAATGAAGAAATAATTTTTTCTATTGTAAACTATTGTCTAATTTTCATTGTAACAACTAGAATAGCTACAACAATTTCCACATTGTGTTTACTTCAACTTTTTATGAGAGTGCCAGGAATAAAAATATTCATTAAACATTTCATTTTTCAACTTTCTTTAAATTTGCAAAAGCTTTTATAAGAAGACGACTGCAAGTTACTATAGTATATTGTCATAGCTGCTCTTGAAGCAATTAATTCTATCAAGATAACAATTAAAAAATTGTAGGGCAGTAAATTGTAAAAATCACTAGCTAGGTATTAATACGAGCATCACTATTAATGAATTTTATCAATTGTTATGTTGCTATTGCAGTCATTACAAAGCTTTTGTAATTATACAATAGCAATTTGCACATTGTTATTGTAATTCCATATTAAATGTTATTATTTTAAACTCACTTTTTGCTTGAACAAGAGATATAATTGATAATCATTTGCAAATAAGGATTTACTTAAAAATAAATTTATATTCCATTGTTTTTTTTTACCTTAAAATAAAGTAATTATTCTGATAATATTTAAAAATTAATAATACTGTACAATAATTTATAAAAAGTGCAACCTATAAGAATGTTATTCTCATGATAACTTGATAATTATATCGTAAATTTTAGATGACTGCTGATATATATCTTGATCTTTGCTATTTTTTAATAGAGTGACTTTTTTTAATAAGACTTCTCTACCAAAATAGCCAAAAACAAGAACGAATAATGTTTCCGGACATGGTGCCTTATGTTCCATAGGAAGGTCACTTATCTGAAGATTAAGCTCAGAAGCAACAGTCATAACATTGGCTAGAAGTGTTAGCAAACGCAAGCAAATGTCAAAGTTACTTTTCTCATCCAGAAAATTGTATAGTTTAACTGGTGCCTGAAAGAAATTAAAATAAACAAAAATTAATTCAAGAATAGATTGTAAATTTTAAGTAATTTTTAACTTAGAAAAGAAATTCATTAAGATAATAGAGTAAATTTAAATGGCTATTATTATATGCGATATCATTACTAGAACGATAATGATACTTTAAAATTTATAATGTGAGTGATAATTATAGATGATGCAGACTTTAACTAGGTCAATATTGATTTATCATTCATTTAGTTTTATGTAAACTTCATCACTTAAAATTTTTACTATTTAATTTCACTACTACTGAATTTTTGATCAAGAAAAAATATTAAATTATTATTTAAATCAAATATAACTGGAGAAGATAAATAATTTCAATTTTCTGATTAGAATACTAAATAGCACACATTCAAATTAGATAAAATTACATGAAATTTACATTATCACACTTAAAAATAAAAATTTCTTCACACATTTGGAATCCAAAAATAGTCTGATGAGGGCTTCGATATTTTATCAAGAGTCTCGTCCATCTTGATATGCAAACAATCATGCAAGCCCTCATCAGTTGGATCCTGTATGTGTGAAGAACAATGAAATATAAAGACACTTTTATTTTTAATTTAATGTTTCTTCTACATGTGTTATAATTAACTGTCAATCTGGTAATTTAAAGGAAAAAAATAAAAAAAGAGAAGACAGTTATGCAAACATATTATGTTTGCATAACTGTCTTCTCTTTTCTAGATTCTAGAACATAATATTTGTTCTAGAATCTTTACATTCTTCCTTTTTCAAGAAAATTTTAACATTTATTCTTATTTATTATAATCAGATTGTTATATAATACAAAAGATGATAGCAAAAAACTTATATTTTATAATTTGATTATATTCAATTATTATATTTTGTTTTTTTTTTATAATGAACTGATGATAGAAAATAAAATTCTTTAAATACTTTTAACTTCGTCATTGGAAGTATGATGCGTTTTCAAAGAATTAATCATTTTAGTTCTTTTAATTGCATTCTGATGATATGTAAAATATTGCTTCATTAAAATTATAAAAAAAATATATGTTTTTGTAATACTTTTGGACTGATAACTTCATCATCAGGAAGATAAAAACAAAAAACAAACTTCCAAAGTCATGCTATGATTTTAAATTATTGTAATTATGTTATTTATTATCTGAGAACACTGTAACATAATTAAAACTTTCAAAACTGTCCAAATTTCACATTTTCCCATCACAATTTCTCAACATATGCACCTTGTATCACATGACACACATTCAACAGATATTCAAATTCTTCATATGTTTGCTACAGCATATCCATTTTCACTCCTCTGAAAGTGGCCACAATTCTACAGCTCCTGCAGATTACACATGTTGCACGATAATTAATAATACCAACTTTCTAGGAGAAGTTTTCACCCTCACAAAACACAGATCATCTTCTCTGTTATAGAGTTGCCATTTTTATTTACAGCACTACCCAGAGGTAGTAGACAATAAGATGAAACTTAAATAGTTACTCTATTGACTGGTATATGCTGCATATTTCTTGGATAATAACTAACATAATTACAGTAATAAAAAAAATGGTAGAATTCATTTTAGAGGACCTTGTGTAATACTGTAAATGTGCTGAAGATTCAACTGAAAAAATAATGATCCATCTATTTTAACAATAGTAAATGTGAGATATTAATTACGAAGGCTATTTTTTAAATAAGGTCCATTTTTTAATAAGAAGAAAAATACTGTAAATATCATTAAAATATATTTTTTCCCATATTCTACATACTTTTTTCTACTTTTCTACATAATTTCCATTTTTGTTCAAACATTTGTTATACTGATCAACAATTTTTTGAATTCCAACTTCAAAGAAATCTGCTGTCTGTGAAAAAGCCCAATCCATGACTGCAGTTTTCACTTCTTCATCATCATTGAACTGTTAACCACCAAAAAACTCCTTTAAGTATCAAAACAAGTGAAAATCACTGGGTGCAATGTCTGGACTGTAAGGTGGATGGATCCAGTTATTCCTATCCAACAGAACTGATTAGACCTTGTGTTTGTGCAGAAACATGTGGCCTTGCATTGTCATGGAGCAACATCACACAGGAAGACATAGACCATGCCATTTGTTTTGTATGGCACGCCGGAATTTTCTCAAGATCACACAATATGCATCAGAATTGATTATTGTGCCTCTTGGCATAAAATCCACTAACAAAATCCCTTTCCTGTCCCAAAAAACAGTTGCCACAATTTTTCGTGCTAAAATGGACTGTTTGACTTTCACTTTGGTTGAAGATATGTGTCGCCATTCCATTGACTGTTGCTCGGACTCAGGAGTCATGTGAGACACCAAAGTCTCATCTGTAACAATGTGGTCCAACAATTCATTTCCTTCCTGATCGTATCGAGTCAAAAATGATAAAGCACTGTCCAATCTTTTTGTTTAGTGATTGTCAGAAAGCAGTCTTGGAACCCACTGAGAACACAATTTTCAATAATTCAGTTTCTCCGAAACAATGGTATACAAAACTGATCTTGAAACCTGTGGAAATTCAATTGATAACATTGACATCATGAATCGTCAGTCCTCTTGAATTTTGTTATCCACATCACAAACCAAATCTTCAGAAATCAGAGAAGGTCGGCCAGGGCATGGCTCATCATGCATATTAACCCACTGGTCCTTGAACATTCTCACCCATTTTCAAACTTTGCTATCACTCAGCATTATCACCGTAAACTTCACAAATCTGATGGTGAATTTCTGCTGTTGCCAAGTTTCTTGCACTCAAGAATTGAATAACAGATTGTATCTCACAGTCGGCGGGTGGCTCAATTTTCTTAAACATTATAAACTTTTACAGCTCAGCATACAGACAGACGATACGGCTGCAAATGGTGTCTAAATGTGCACAAAGCATGCTCAGAGCAGACACACATACGCACTGCCGTGATCGCGCGTCATTCTCACTCTTATTCACACACAGATCTTATTTAAAAAATAGCCCTTGTATTTTAACTGTAAATATTATTTTATTTACAGTTAAAATACGAGGCTTTTATTATTATTTTAACTGTAAATAAAGTACACAAATGGCAATCAAATAGTAAAGAAATTTTTATAATTTTAGAAATTAATCTTACAATAAAATTTAAATCATACTTTTCAGAAGAAAAAGAATCAAATTTTGTTTTAAAACTAGATTTTCAATTAGTTTAAGAATAATTTAAAAACAAACCTTTGAAGCTAAAATAGAAGGAACAATGGAGGCATTAGTGGATAAATTCACTAGCAATTTCATGATTTGTAATTGAGCTTCACTGCTGCCATTTTCCAAAATGTCCATTAACTTTTGGATGCTTCCTTCCATTAAACTATGATTGCTTTCAAACAAAGCAAGATTACTAAGAGCTGTTAATGATATTGTCCTTAATAGTTCTACATCTTTACCTGTTGCATGATGAAGTAATATAGGAATACAGTTCTAAAAAAAAGGAAATTAATGAATGCTTATTATTATTAAATTAGTTTGAAAGTGTATTTAAGTTAATAATTATTAGTAAAATTTAACAAAATTACAGAAAAGTGACAATACAATTATATTTCAAATAAAATACACAAAATATAAGAATAATTACAGAATCTTAATTTATATATTTGGTATGTGGAAGTTAATATACACTAAGAAGTACTCAGAAGGAATGATTCAATTGGATTAAAATTTTCAAGACTAATTGAATCCATTTTAACAAATATAGAAACATGGTTTATACAGGCACCCCAAAATAGGGTGTGATCAATATGCTGTGGACCCATCTCTAGCAAGAACACACTGTTCAAGAGGTAATGTAAACCATTGTCATCCAGAGGGATATACAGTCATACTTGCTGAACCTGAGCAGTCAGATCTTGAAGATTCTCAGGTGTGTTGAAGCAATGTCCAATTATGTCTCATATATGCTCAATGGATGATAAATCTGGACAGCTTTGTGACAGTGTACAAAAGCGTGTGCCATATGCAATCTAGCATTATCCTGATGATAAATGGCTCCAGGCATCTCTTACATAAAGAAAGCAATACAGGTTGTAACATGTCTGAGATTTACTGTGAGTGGTGGTCACTCTTGGGATTTACTGTGAGTGGTGGTCAGGACACTCTTGGTGGTCATCCAAAGAACTTTGGATGACCACCAAGAGTGTCCTGAATCATAGATGATGGCTCCCTAAACAATAATTCCGGGAGTTGGACCACTAACCCCTGTATTCACCAACACAAGTTAGAGTTAAAAGTTAACCAATGAGTGTTCATGTACTAAAAGTAGAGCAAACTGTGTTTGGTTAACTCTAGATTCAACCCTAACTCTAACGCGTGTTGGTGAATACAAGGGTAAGATGAATTCGTATTAATGAGGACTGGTTCACTCCAGAAGTCTACATCATACCCTTCCTCATATATCATTGTTACTTGGACAGAAGTGTAACTTGTTGCTGAGTACCACACTTTGCCATTCCAGATGCTAAGCCAATCTGTTGCAATACCATGCGCAACATTCCTGACAATGCACAGTAGTCAAAGGCAGGAGGCATGCTAATGGGCACCTGGAGTAGAGCCTAGCTTCACATAACCAACATAATCTTGTTCTCATGGACACTGGAACACCATCAGTACTTGCCAAATCATTCTGTAACTGCTGCCATGTGATTGATATATCACATGGCAGTCCTGTAGTGTGGCTACTATGATTGCAAGGGCTACTAGTCCTGCAGTGAACCATACTACAGGACTAATAGTCCTCACAATCTGTCTGTCACCATGGTCTGAGATAATCTGCTGGGCCCAGATTCTGTAGTGCCTCCTCTTGCCATCATCTCCTAACATATACCACAATCAAAGCATCTTATGATAAATGGACAGCAATTCTTCTTGTTGACTATCCAGCCTTCGCTAGGCCATTAAACCAGCCTCTTTCAAACTTGGTCAGTTGCATAAAGGGTCATCTCTGACATCATCCAGACAACACTACAGCTGTGTACACAGGATTCATGTTCAGATATACTGGTATATAGCAATGCCACCAGGATTCCTATCATCATCAAATTGACCTCTGGTGAATTTTATACCAAAATAGCTAAAAATTTGAATTTAGATCTCATTTATAAATGTAGCATGGAAAAGATGCATTAAACAAAATTTGTTTTCCTGATCCCATTGATTGATTTGAGGTTCAGCAGACATCTGGCCTACATTGACTCTTCTCATACATTGGCTACATTGATATGACATCTCCAAAGGTCACAAAACTGGTCCAATTCGCCTCTGAGCCTAACGTGTACCCTTGTTGACAGGATGCTGTAATATACTAAGTACTACTAAAGCCATAGAAATGTATAAAGCTACTCCCAAAGGAGAGTATACTAATATTGATAGCATACAAGCACGACAATGCACCATTGATTCATACTTTCATTTTAAACTGTCTTAGTTCTGTTCCTATTGTACTTTTAATATTTATGTTTACTTAGTAATGTTTTAATCTTTGTACATAGTAATTTTGTCTACTTTTGTATTAATCACTTATACTTTTGTAAGTTTTAAACTGTATCATGTTGCATGTGGAATGTTTTGTTTTGAGTCTTGTAACTTGCTTGTCATCGTCGTAAATATGATGACAAGCAAGTTGGATGATGATAATGACTGTTTAAGACAATTGAAAATGTTTATTTGTCTAGTAGTGTTTTATATTTTGCTAGATTTTTGGTGTTGGTGTATTTATCTTTCCTATAACAATGTAATTAATAAGTGAATATAATACTAAAGAAAAAAAAATTATTAATAATTTTATTACCTGGAATGTTGACTCAGCTCTCTCATTAACTGCAAGATTTGATATCGTCTGTGTTGCAGCTATTTGTACTGTTAATTCTGGATGGGTAAGTAAGTCTCTCAGAGACAAATGACAATTAGCATCATAGAAGTATCCCTAGAAAATTATAAAATAAATTATAAATTATATATATAAAAAGTTGTTTGCTTGTCTTCTTTAATTTCATAAAAAAAAATAAGAAAACTTATACAATGAATGTAAATACAGAAATATAAAGAATATACATGATTATTGATATTTTATTTTACTTCTCTGTCAATTTTTTTCTACTTTTTAGATTATATTTTATTAAAAGATTTGATTATACCATTACTCTATATACAATTTAAATTGAAAATTAAATAGAGAAATCACTTCACGAATATATATTTTATACATAATAATAATAATTTTGTTATACAATAAAGTAAAGAGTCAAATTATGCTATTTGTTGTAATATTAGAAAAGAAAAACAGTTTGTAAATGAAATTCTTTGCATGGACAGGTCAAAAAATCCCAGGAATTTTTTGGAGGGTGATTCATCCAATATGTCAACCCCATCACTCACCACCTGGCCACTCAATTGTGAGTATGGCCAAACTCATAATGGGCTTGCTAAAAAAATAGGCCCCCTCCCTTAGTGCTCATAGGAAAGAGTTTAAAAAGTAAACAAAAAAAATTACTTTGCTTTATATAAAATACCAATGGCTCATATGATTGAATATTCTAATTTTTAGGCTATTAAAATATTCTTTATTCCATTCAGTAAAAGTTTTTTAAATATAAATTATATTAAAAACAGTTAAATAAGTTAAACAAAACAATTCTATAATTTTTAATAATAAAATATATTCTTACAATCAAAACCACAACCCGGTGTAGATCCTAATCTACTGATTGTATTTTATTTTTTATAAAAGAGATATTCTTTTCTCTATATGCAAAATTTCATTGGTAAAGGCCTATTCATACAGGAGATATTAGTAGAAACTTTATCCTAATGTCCCATTCATTTATTCATAATCAATTCTACTCGCTGCTGTATAACGATTTTATTTTGTATGCATGGTAAAATCTAGTTATTTTGATAAAGACATAAATGAGCCCGTTAGTCTGCTTGCTTTTTGTTTCAAACTTGAAAGTGAGCAAATTACTTGTAATAACTACTCCAATTATGTATTCATTAGATGCTCCTGGTGTAAAATTTATCATAATAAAGCCGACCATTGCCACATGCCATCAGGAAATATAACAGCTACATTAATAATAAATTACCAAACAATTTGACCCTAGAGGGAGGTGTTAGGTGCCATCTCATTATAAATTTAATAATTATAATTTTAATTAAATAATTTAGATTAAACTGGAAGAAAAGAATCGACCTGGAGCGGGACATGAACCCGCAACTGCTACTTATTATGTGGATGCATTGCCAATTATGTTACCAGGACCTCTAGTCCAATCTCATCTTCAGGTATATATAACATTATGCTATAACCATCATTGGTTACTATGGTGCCAGCTAGAGGCACATCAAGTACTCTTGTCCTGTAAACTCCCATATAAGGCACACAACCGGCCATCATATACCCCTGCCAGGCATATATATAAACAAACAACTCTATAATAACCATAAACATCGGGTTTTCGTAAATTTTACAAATAACTCTACAAAAACTCGATACATCAGGTTATTGCAAATTGTTTGTAAAATTTATCTATGTTTCATTCATTTTTTGGTGAGACACTCTACTGTAATAATTTTACATAATAAATTATATTTATTTGTAAATAATTTCTACATAACTATTTACTATGCATATTTCAAGATTTTTCATTATCCATATCTCTTATATGAATGGGCCTTTACCAATAAAATTTTGTATATAGAGAGAATAATTTTTATAAAGAGGAAGTATCTCTATATACTCTATATTCTATATTATAAACATAAAATATAATCATTAGATTAAGAACTGCACTGAGTCATAATTTTGACTGTCAAATTAAATTTAACTTTTAATTAATTAAATTTAAATTTAATTAACTTCTAACTATTTTTCTTTTGTTTTTTTTTTCTTGGATAGAATTTCACTTCATTAGAGTGAAATCAATAGAAAGAACAATCTGTTTTAATCAAAAAAACTTTTTGTAATTAAAACAGATTATTCTAATTGGAAAATGTCTCTTTTTTTATAAATTAAAACATTATCTCTTTAAATCTTTTTTATAAAAACAAAAATTCCAATAATTACATTGTTCGATTTAACTCCATGTTAAATAATACAAAAAATTCATTTAGTCAATATTTAATACTTAAAATACTTGATTCTGTAACTTAAAAAATTATTAATGGATTAATCTTTAATGATTAACTCAATACAAAATCGACTGCAATGTAACAAATTTTGATTTTAAACACATCAAATTACTGATAAAATATAACATAAAGAATAAACGGTAAATGATAAATTGTAGTTTTCATGCATTCATCATAATATATCTTAAAATTTTCATAATATGAAAATTTTAACATATTAAGGTGGCCAAATGGCCAAGACAGTTAAGATGCTGGCCTACCACTTTTGGTGACTCAGGATTAAATTCGGGGAGTCAAAAATGGAGAATTCAGGAGGATTTGTCCCAGATATGTCATGCCCCATCCCTTACTGCCAGCTATCCCATTGTGGACCTGGCCAAACTTGTAATGGACTTGAAAAAAAGACTCTCTTATTCTCAAAGGTTTATAGTTATCGTACTCTATTAATTTTATAAAACAAACTAATTGAAATTATTAAGTTTCATAAAATATTAATACCTGATTGATTGTAAAGGCAGAACAATTAGATATTGTTGATAATGTTCTGACAATGATATCATCATCTTTTTTATTTAGAAGAGATACTAAACTTTTTGCTTCGTACGGCGTTACGACTCTCGCTCTATTAAATAAGTTATCAAGTCTTCTTAACACGATCACCTCGGATTCTTCTTTAATCGACAAATTATTATCATTATCGGAAGAAGTTTCGATTTCTTCTTCATTATCATCTTTGGTAACTTCATCTTTGTTTGGTGACAATTTGTCTTTGTTATTTTTCTGTGGCGAGCCAGGAGGTGAAATTGTACTGACGTTCTCTGCAGAATAACTTATAAACTTTCTTGAATTAGTGGTGCCAAGAATTCGAGGCGAACTCCACGGAGTATTTTGCAAACTTCTGGTTTTGAAATTAGGAGGAGCAAAAGGAAAATTTCCGTGTTGTTGAGCATAAACATTTAATATCTTAACTCTTTCTTTGACCGATTTATGAGAACCATATAATTCAGGTAATAATGCTAAAGTTTCTGCAGTGTATAGAGGCAAATCAGTTTGGATAGCTTGGTTTATTCTCTTTTCAAGTGCATATTGATTTCCTAGGAAAAAAAATATTCAACATTATATTACATTAAATAAAGAACATCTGCTTTAAAGTATTCAAAAATTATATTGACTTAATAATTAATAAGTTAGGAATGGTACTTAATTTTCAAATTTGCTTTTAATGAAAATCATAGTGAAACTAACAATATATTTGAAACTACAAATAAAAACTGTACATTAATTGTTCTTGTATATTTTCTAAAAATATAAAGTTGTCTTTTAACACTTATCTATAGTTACTGTTTCATTAAAGCATAAAATTTCTAAAAAAATCCCTAACAATAACATTCTAAGCTGGAACATCTCCAGTGTAAGAAGACACTAGACACTCCTTACACATTTTTTCAGCAACTAAATTTAGTCGAAATAAATCTTTTTAGCTTGACAGCCTCTGTAAGGTTACAGAACAAAATATAAATATAGATTCTATATTAGAATAAAGTATTCTTTGATGCAATTATGTCTTTTAAATCATAATAAAATTTAAATATCTAGTTAAATTTCATTCCATAGCTTGACGAAGGCTTATCAATCAGGCCAAAAATGTTTGTTTCAATTAAATTTAGTTGCTGGAAAAGTGTGTTAAGTATTAGTGTCTTCTTATACTAGCACTTTAAAGCCTTTTTGAGTCATCCTCAGCATTGTGCTCAAATGTAACCAGGGCTAAATTTAGAACAACTCATTATGCCATACCGGTAGAGAGCATAAAAAGTATTGACAAATGGTATGTAGTACCAGCAGTTGCTCAGTATGATAAATTCTATATATCTTCAGGTGAGAAGTCTGGTAATTGCCAAGATAAAAAAAAAAACAAAATCTGTATTGGCCACAATGAGTGCCATGAGCTGATTGGAACTGACATAAAAGGCAAACAGAGCAGGGACTCCTCCTTTTTGTCAGAATGAACCAATACAGTCTGGTAATTGTCTGCCCCAATACATTTGTATCAAGAAATAAGGTACAGAAAAACACTAATGATGATATTTTAAATGGAGAGATAAAAACATGTTTACTAAAAGGACTTCATTCAGTAAATAAATAAAACTTACAATAAATAGGGAAAAAATACAGATGGAGACACAAAAAATTTGGGAAATACTATAATTGCTACAATATAAATGTATACATTTATAAAGAAAACAGTTTTTTAGTTGGGCTGCAATTTGAAAAACTTTTGGACCTATAAATTCTCACCATTATCTGTCCATCTGTCCTTCCTTAGTTTCGAGGACGACATTAGATAGACGAAAGCCAAGACCAGATATGGAAAGCTTGGTGGCAGGAATTAACTGTACACGAACTTCTGGTCTAGACCAAAAGTCATGTGATTTCAAATGAAAAATTTTCCCTAGAACAGAATTACATAGATGACCGAGATGACTCTGTCGTTATCAAGAACTGTATGAATATGAGCCCATGTCCGTGGTTCTATATCCCTGTATAACTATGTTATTATTGGCAGGCATTTGTGCCCATGTACTCGGTATTTTGCTGTACATACTTCAATATCGGCTGTCAAGCCCATGTCACGAACATATCCCAACATTCTTGTATTACTGTGGCTGGCATATGAGCCCATGTCTACTTATTATCTCCAAACACTCTTGTACTACCAAAGTCGGCAAATTAAGGCCCATGTTGCGAATATAACTCTTAGCATTGTTTTAAATATTCTACTGTAAATTAATTAGTGTCTATAAATAAAGGCTTTTTGTACTGTAGAGGGACAAGACATTTAATTTGAGATCAAGAGCATATATTTCAAATTAAATTAATTAAAAATATGATTAAAAATTTAGTTTAAGAATATGAAATACTTTTAGTAAAGTATAAATTTCCATGAGAATAAAATCATAGCATACATTCCATCTACATGAGATTCTAAAGACAAAAATGTACTTATGAAATTTCAAAACAAAAATTATAATTATATATTATTTAAAATTTATTTTAATTTTTAATAATTACTTTCCCTGAGATTTAGAATAATTCTTCATAAAAATAAGATGTTATAATAATAATTTTTTAAACAATTTAATGAAAAAAGTCAGTTAGCTTAATATTTATATTGATTCTAGCCTTTGGTCGTATCTGCCTTTTTGTATTTCGGCAAAATTATACAAAAATCAAGCTTTACAACCTGCCTTTGCACTACTTATGCAAAGTTTTAAAATATTTTTTTGTATAATTTTTAAAAACCTAATACTTCAATGCCTTGAAGTCATTACGCAGGTTATGTAGTGACCTGCAGGTCACAGATTTGCCATTGCTGTTCTAAATTATCAACGCTATTGCTAGCTTAGTGAAGAGTTATGATTGTAAGAAACCTTAACATTTCTTAAAATTTTGAAAATAGTCAGGTAACATCAGTTTTTTTCAAAATTTTAAGAAAACAATAAGGTCCCATATGATCACAACTCTGTACTGGGCATACACTTAATCCCAATAGATAACCAATGTTTTATGACAAAAGTTAGCTTAATGATTTATTTAATAACTAAGTTCATAAATTTTAAAAACTAAAAATATATAAGACAGGTTATGTGACCTATATAAAGCAGACAATAAAATTAATGATAATTTAGGATGAGTTAGACAAATCATGGTATAATTATTACTTAAATTACATGTAAGTAGAAATGATGTAACACAAAGACAGCAGTTTCATTGAGTCCAGTGGCGTGCCATGACATTTGACGATAGTGAAGCAGTGTTTCTGTTTCTGGAAGCCGACTTTCAGGGGCAATCAGTCAGTAATGGTCTAGGGTCCCATTTGTATTCATTTGTTCAATAAGCCAGTAAAAACCGTAGACTTCTCAAATGTATTTTTAATATCACAATTGCATTCTGAATCGCTAGCCACGATATAAGGGCTAAAATTAAAAATATAATTAAAAAAAACTTACTTGGTGAAATAAAATGTGCATGCCCATACCATCAATCAGTTTTCGTAACTCCACGAATCAATTTAAGCATTTTTATTATTGCTATTTGTATTCTTTAGTGTTAATTAAGGTCCCTGCACCATAAGTTATGGTTGATCATACAACTGCCTTGTACACTTTCTTCTTCAACTTGTCTGGTATCTTCCTATATCGTACAACATTCCATATTTTACCATGATTCGAGCCTGACCAACGAGCTAACCAGGTGGAATTTCTCAGTTTTCCTATATTGCGTAATGAAGCAGTGGATGTACAGTACATACCTGGTACAAAATATTCTTCAATTGTACGAATATACTTTTAAAGAATATTATGATTAAATATAGCTTTATAAAGAAACGTACATAAAAATAACATAAAATATTCTTTACTTTTTAAATCTTAAACAATCCACTTAGTCAAATAGCTCCCTACCAGTGGCTAATGATTGGGATCAGAGATGGTCCTGCAGTGTATGCATGCACACGGGCTGCCAAATCCCGAGGGTGCCGATACTGGTCAATGTCAAATGCCTGTTTAGTTGCATCACTAGTATATCTCAAACGACGCGACAAGGTTGTTGTAAATTTTAAACGTTTCTCACCATAGCTGTAAAAATCTAAATTTGTTAAAAGTCGTTAGTTTTCTAACTAATTCATTTTAGGACTAGATGGTGTCCACGGAAATTTCCAAAATTTACTTTTCGGTCACTCTCATTGAACTGGAAAAATTTCTTTCTTTATTACATCTAACATTACCAAGAAATCAGTCCCCACTGTACTCAGTTAAGCTTTTGTTTAAGTAATATTCCGGCTCTTTCAGCAGGGTTTTATTTGTGTCCCCACTTCCCTAATCGCTTAATTATTTAACTATTTCTTAAATAGAAATTAGTCGAAACTGGTTACTTTGTATTTGAATATTTGTAAAATCTCGGGAAAAAAGTGGAAAGAGAAATTCTTATGACAATGGATACATAAATCGTAAATTTAAGGAAAATAAATTCTAGAGCTTTTTCTGTACCTGGTGCATCTCTCTCATTCATTAAATTTAGTTGTAAACAATGCTATCAAAGTAACAGTTAATTTTTTAATATTGTACAAGAATTGTACATGTTTTTTCTTACATCCCCTTAATGATGGGACATATGAAATCGTAATATCACTGGTTTAACATTGAAATCCGTGAGTAATATAAAATCAGAGAGAGGAATAAAAATATCAAATATTTTAATGGATTTTTTAAATTCCTGTCAACTATACAGAACTATCATAAAAACATACCAGTAAATTCTTATCGGTTGGGTTAAGTTATAAATCTACTCATGATTCACATAATCGGGCAAAGGAGGCCAAATATCTAGCAGGCAGGCAGCCAACAGCCCAGAACTTGTCCTGGATAGAATTTGATGTGGTATACGTGTAGCATCCACCCAAGGTCCTAGGCTTCCACTGGCTAAACTGGGTGAAGTTGGTGCTCTGTAAAGCGCATGTGCAAATCTGGCTTTTTGGATGCTGACAATACAGCGCTTCCACTCCACCACTAATATTCGAATATACAATAGCAATCTTATCTTTTTTTTCATGTGTAGTACTGTATAAAAATTTGTAATAAGATACATAATGTGGTTATAATAAAATATTGTGTGATTATTTTCATATAATAAAAATTAATAAGTATTTATTTTTTAGAAAATACAAGGGAAGCAGCGCATCCACCGCTTCCAATGACAGCACACCATTGGTTGAGTCTCAGTAGAAGCTGTGAGAAACATGATTTGTAATATGATCTGTAATAATGGTTACATTATACGAATTACATCTATGAATAATATCTAAGTAATTGTACTGAATTTGTATGGTTTAATGTTAAGAAAATTAAAGTTTAAAGTTAAGAAATGTAAATAAAATGTTAATAGGTAACATAGCAGGAAAGTCTGAAAGCCAAAGAAATGCAGCAAAAAGCCTACATATTAACGAATGGAGAAATGTACATCGGTGTACTCGTGAGTAATTTTAAGTTGTTTATATGCGATTAATTTTTTTAAAGTAATTTAAATATGTATTCTATACATCCAGAGCACTCTATTTATGTTAAAGTTATTAATTACTATGTTTTGATATATGTTAGGTCTATTATTTTGGCAATAATTATACTTATATATTGTAACCAACTGAAGAGTAGAAATGCATTCTGGCTTAGTGATAATATAAATATGTCAATAACCAAAGTGTGATTCATCTCTTTCTATAGATCTTGTAAACTGTATAATATAGGGGATACAGATGAAAAGTAAAATATTAATAACAGAATTACAGAAATAGAAATAGTTTTTTTGGCACATTTTATCAATTGACTATTAAAAAAGTCAAGAAGGGAATGAAAAAATTTTGATCACTCAATATTAGAGTAAATTCCTCCAAATTTCTTCCTAATGAGGTTTCCTGGATCAGAACATAAATGTTCATTTGAAGGACATCAGTCAAAACACAGCAAGTCAAGAAGAAAGAGGAGATAGAAGAAAAGAAATGGCAACAGAGACAAGAGAAGATCCAAGTTAAAAAAATATCTGCTTTTATTTATTATAGTACACATATTTATATTGTACTTTCTAAAAGCTGGAAGTTATATCTATGTTCATCCAAATCAGCAGTGAAGTAGATGATTTAGTAATGAATGTAGTCAAAAACGTCAATAAATCTAGATGATTTATGAATGTTTTCACAGCTGATTTATGAGCTACTTCAGTGCTGGAAAAGTACATAGGTTGACTTAGTTAAGCACACATATATATGATAGGTTGTTACAATCTATCATATAAATTTGTCTGATGGCACTGTAATTTAATAGCAAAGTAAAAAAAATTATACAAACAAATTTATTAAGCCAATATTGAATAAATTGAGAAGTCAATAGTAGAGAAAATTAATATTAAATGAGCAATTCTTTTATTGTAACATTGTCACAATGCTGGGTTGCAATTTTTAATATTTTTAATTTATTTAATTTAAAAGATATGCTCTCTACCTCAAATTAGTAGTGGCTTGCCTCTGTACATCATACTTTTCCTTTAGCAATAGAGTTGTGCCAAGCATCTATCTAACACCTTTCGGGGGAAAATGTTTGAATTGAAATAACCTGACTTTGGTTTGCACCAGATGTTTGTATATAAGTCGACCCCCGTATAAGATCATTGATTATTCCGTTTTATATGAATTCCATGTTATACGAGTCACTTAGATTTTACAAATACGTGTACCAGGCTGTGAACGGCTCACGTATTTGTAAAATTTAAGTGACTTTTACAACATGGAATTCATATAAAACGGAATAATCAATGATCTTATACGGGGGTCGACTGTAGTTAAATCCTGTCACTAAGGTTTCCATCTGGCTCTGTATTCATCTATTTAACCCCATTCTCAAAATTAACATAGTAAAGATGGATGGACAGACACTGGACACAGGTCTGCAATTTGAAAATTGCATCCCAATAAGAAAGTAGTTGAATATAATATAATATTAATAATAAAAGTGGTATCCATTATAATTACTGATAAATGTAAAGAAACATTTGCTGTGATGGAAATTTCCCAGCAAAGTCACAATCAGTTTGGCAGTGAAATGGGTTTGTCTTATTAGTTATTCTAACCAATTTGCTTTGAATTAAAATTTTTGTTAGGATCTTTTGAATTTTAATAAAATGTCATATGTCAAAACAAAATAGGATCCAGAGTGATTGATTAAAATATATGTTACAGATTACAGTAAATAAATATAAAATGTTAAAAATAATTTTTCATAAATTTAAATATTTATAGAAAGTTTAGAATACATCATTTTCAATAACAGTTTTCAATAGTAATATTAAAATACAAGTTAATCAAATAAGCAAGAACACAAAATATAATAAAAGTGTTTATATGATTTATTAAACTCCATCGGAATAAATGTACACATCAAAAATCACTTAATTGAATTCCGTTTATTATATTTTTAACTAAGCATCTTTGGACTTCATTTGTACATTTATATGTATGTTGTGAGAATATAGACAATGTAACAATAAAAAAAAAAAAAAACACTTAAAAGAGGAATGTATGTATGAATGAAACATTTTTCAATATAAATACAATTTACCTCAACCCTCATCAAGTATTAATCTCATGCAAAAAGTAAGACAGGTTTGCTCACTTCTGCTTTCAGAGCAGACTATAGTTATAAATCAGAAACTAAGACAAAAATTATTAGACAAAAATGAAAAATTATTTTTTCATTTGTACATGCTTTTAACTCCTAAAATATTTCAAAGGTTTTTTTTTTTTTGAGTTTTATACTTTAATACCAAATATATTCTGTATTTTTAAACTTTTTTTAAAAAAGCAAAACTTATAACACAGATTAATTTATGAAACTACTCAGATTATATTTGACAAAATGCTTATTTATTATTATTTATTAACTTCACCTAATTATCAAATTATTTACCACTTTTCGAATATAAATAAGACTGTCAGTTTGTTAGGAATAAATAAATATTACTTCTAAAAGTTATATTTACAATTCATAACAATGCTAAATTATTCAACTTCTTTATTTAAATTCTCTATATTTAACATTTAAACCACATTTTTTCATTATATGTTATGATTTAATATGAAAACTGACATATAAAATTCCTAAAATTTGCATTATATTCTGTAAATAAAAAGAAGAATCCATCTTTCCAACTATATTTGTAAAATGTCTCTAGAGTAAAAGAAGTTAAACATGAATAAAGAAATCTATATAGAGAAACACCTTATCAAGTTTGATTAATTATATAACAAATGTATCTGTGATAAATTTAATTCAGTGATCAATAAATACTGTGAATAATTTAAAATATTGTAATATTATTATAATTAGTTGGCATTCTCAAGTATCACTTCATTGCATTTAATTATTTATGTAACTGGCAATTAAACATCATGGAATCACTTAATCAATTGTATATTTTGATATATTTATGAATAACAATCATAAAATTCAACATAACCTGGTAATTAATTACTAAAATTAATTAATAATTAATGATATTTTATGGATAATTAACTGAATACAAAGACACTGTGAATAACTTTAAAAAATTATTTAATTTTTTGACTTATCAAGTATCATTTCACTGCTATATAACCAGTGATGTAAACAATACTTAAATATCTTAAGATTAGTTAATCGTTTGTACATTTGCTGTAAAAACATTGCAATCTTTCAAAAATTGGATATAAGTATAAAATAAACACTTACAACACACCAAAAAATCCAGAAAACAAGAAAACTTTAATGACTAACTCGTGTTTACAACCATATTCAATGATCATCATCAGATTTACATATAAGAGAATATCATCAACCTATGTCACAAACCTCATACCTCTGAAATATCTACTTGACAAGAGGCATCAAATCTGGTTTCGAAAGAAGTACTGCATTTGTAATAATATATTTTTACCTCTTTAAAATCAAACACATCAGAAACACAAAGTTTGTGACCATACAGATGCATCACACCATTTTGATTATAGTTGTAATATAATCTCAAATAGGTGGAATATTGAGATATGAAGTTTGTGAACTAGGTTGACGATATGTAAATCTGATAACGTGAAAATGTGAGTCAGTCATTAAAGTTTTCTCGTTAGCTAGATTTTTTGGTCTTTTCAATAGTGTTTATTTTACATTTACTGTGTTTATAATAATCATAAAAGGTCAATATAGCCTAGTAATTGATAAAAATATAGTCTATTAGTAATTTTTCAATCTTACAGCTATATTAAATGGCTTTGTATATATCAGTTACTACAATTACAAATCATTTCATCAAAAATTAATTGTTTGTAAAGAAATAATCGACAGACAATAATCCGAAAGAGGGATTTGCCACCCCTCAGAGTTACAGACTCCCTGTATGAGCAAAAAAAGTCAACGAAGCCATACTAGTACCTGCAACCCTTTGTGAGATATTTGCCTACAAAGGTGCTTTTACGCAAACCAACACACTATCTATCCTCCACATTCCACATCAGTCCATCACTTACCTCAACCAATACTCCACACAGTAGCTCGCACCTCAGTACCCGTGGGGTGCTTGTTGTTATATAGTTTTAAAGGGCACCAGGACTTGCCCACATCCCCTAAAACTATATAACAAGCACCCCACAAAGAGTCAAGTGAGCTACTCAAAGCCAGCACAGTCACACAAGCTAAATAGTTATATGCAATCTGGAATTAAGCTGATTTTGGAGACTGTATCTCACGAAAGGTCCAGGTAGAACTAATGTAGGAGCATGCCAGATGTAGAGCATGCTCTACAGCTCATATAAAGCCCCAACAGTCTCATTTAAGAGTGTAATTGTACTAATCTGTTTACATAGACATAGACAATATTGGTCCGTATATAAATGAAATGAATATCCATACCCTTGCTTTTGGGTCGTCTACAAAACGCATTTTTCATAATAGAATAGCCAACATAGGCAAAGCCAGCGGCTAAAGCAGAACATAAAGCTACTCGTTTCGTCGATCTTTCTCCCGATGATGCCATTTTGATAACGTTTCTAAACGCGTTAAATCGGCTTAAAATCACAGTAATTGCTTAAACGAGTCACTGTTTACAATCATAAACCTCGTACAGTGACAAGACAAGCAAAATTGCGGTCTGCTAATTCTACCATCGTGAATTTCAGTGTTGCCAGAGAAAATCCATATTTAAAAATGAAAACATTTTTTAAAAAAATATATATATAATAAATATATATTTATTATATTACTATTATGTATAAATATTATAAATATACTACAGTATATACGTTTCAAGTTAAAATGCATTACAGTACTATTATATTTATAACAGCACAATTATAATTATATATTGAGAGATTCTTCGTGGAGGATTTGGGTTCGAATTCCATCTGTTTTCTAGAGAAAGCGATAAGACTATTTGTTTTTTTAATTTAAGAGTTTTAAGTGCAATTCGAGGTAGGCTATTGTTCCATTTCTTATATTGCGCTACCACTCAGATATGACTGTAATGATCAAAAATCATACTTTACAGCTTGTTTCGTGATTTTTGGCCAGGCTTTATTTTATTTTTAACTTTTTCGCCCTGTGGACACTAAGAAGGCCTTTTTAGCAATCCCATTAGGGGCTCGGGTGGTGAGAGATGTGGCCCGACAAATTCTTGTAATTTTTCGATCAGTCCGGAAATGATCCAGAGTCCGTCAGATCGAATCCGGAGCAACAGGTTCTAGGAGGATCCGCCTTAACCGCTCTGCCATCCGTCGTCATGTTGTCCGGGTTGTAAAAATGTGTGATAGCAGACACAAGTCTAATTAGTAAAGCGAATAGATTGTTGACAAAATCACTGTGTATTTCCAAAAAGGGACTCTCGAACTTTTAAATTTCTAGAACCCAACAGAGCCTCGCGCATTGCGCTGTAAGACACAGTATGAAACGATTTGTATAAGAAAGATCAAAGCCAAACAACAGAAATAAATTCTGCCATGCCCACCAGTGGCCAAGTGGATACAACCACTGAACACTGGTAGTGGATTCGCCACTCTCCAACGGTTTGGTCACATAAAGTTTTCCAGGTTTTCTTCACATTTTCATCTAAATAAGGGCCAATTTCCCACAAAAGACCTCCCCCTTGACAGATGGCCGTGTGTCGCGTTGCTACATACGAATAAAACCAAATTTGCCAGTAAATATGATCCGATTTCGTTTTTCCAAATGCCGTCAGGCTCGCTTTTAGACTCCTTATTTTACAGAAAACTGGATTGTCAAGATCAGGAGTTTGATCGTGACCAGGGCTGTCCGATTAGTTTGATAAAGTAAGGTGGGCCTAATACAACCAAAAGCAAAAAGCAATTGCGAATTTTAAGTACCCACTCATTTGCAAGCAAGCTAAACGTCATGTCGAAAAACAAAATCGCCGCTTCCGATGTTTCGTCGTTAATCACTTTATTTTGTTTATTTATTGAGAAAGAAAAATAAGTCAAAAAGAAAACGATGCTGGGTGAGAGAAATATTAATATCCATAATTATAACATGTACTCTATTGCGTAACAAAGTTTCTGTAGCCATCTTGAAAACAAGAACCACGTGACAACTAGCGGGAATACGATTGGTGCAAAATTTTTTCGGTAGCGCAAAAGCTCGACAGTTCCGAACTTCGAAGCGATTCGCGAAATGGTAAAATTCGCCGGAAATGACGTCTTGCCTGACGTCCCCACGGTTAGGCGCGCGGGGTGATATAGAACCCCCGGAGTGTTTAAACGCGTGTATTTTTTAATATTTTTAGTGCTTAAAAATGATGCCCTCAGTACCTTCCTTCCATGGTGTGAAGATCGCACCGAAAAAATTTCAAATTTGCACGAAAAAAATTTTTTGCATAGACTTATAAAGTTATAATGGAAATCAGTGGGGTACTATAGTACCCCGCGCGCCTAACGGAATAACTTTTATTAGCGCGACTAACGGAGGTGGGTGGAATTGTTTTGCAGTTTCCAGAAAACGCTTATTGGTTGATATCGAGTCAGTCATGATAGAAATGACCAATGACAGCATAAAAGGCGTAAAAACAGGATTTTTAAAGCCAATAAACGGCAAAAAAGTTTCCCATAGACTTAACATTGACAGCTTGAAAGGGGGCGTTTTTTGGCGATATTTATTGCTAAATGGTGTTGAAAACATGTTTATTCGTTTAAATACTGTCAAGCGACTTATTATTAGCAAATTAGAAGTGTAAAAAAAAAATTAAAACACGCTATTTTATAGCGATTGTTTACATACTTCCATGTGGTAGCCTTCGGGGGCGTGGCATTTCGCGGGAATATTTCCAGCAATTGTTTTTATAGGTCGATCTAATAACAGACATATAAATTAACCAATTACAGTGTAAAAGAAGTTTACTATCGACGTTATCTGCCAATAATCTCCATTTTTACCTCTATTTGCTGTATGATTTTAGATGGTGTATTTTTGGAAATATTGAAATATTTTTGGCCCGGGGTTTGGTACAAAGAATTTAATTGTTGTAATAGTTAGAAAACACATACAGGAAGACGACTGACAACTTAGATAGCATCAGACTTGTTTACAGTTTGTAAAATACACTCTTGAAGTTGACCAATTTTATTTGAAAAATTTCTAAAAACGGGAGACTTTCTGTTTTTCGTTACAAATAAATAAAAACGATATATTTGAAGTAGTTTTCTTCACTAATACATCAAAAACACATGCCCACAAACATCCAAAATGAAAAAAATCGCGAAAAAAACTATGAGTTTTGAAAAATTGAATTTTGAAACAGGGGTTCTATAGTTCCCGCGCGCTTAACTTCGCGAGAGTAACACACAGCGCGTAACACTGGGTTAAGCTTAGTTCACACTGAGCGCGATTCGCTGGCGAAAGCGAAAAACAGAGAAATTGGCGTGAAAAAATTTCGTACCAATTGTATTCCCGCTAGTTGTCACGTGGTTCTTGTTGTTTTCAAGATGGCTACAGAAACTTTCGATCGATTGATCCGGGTGTTTTACGGTTTGGTCCTTGGATGCATTCCATTTCCGTATTTCTTCTAAATGGTGAAATATCTTTTGTAGTATATGGTTTTGTTGTATCGTTGTTGTCTTTTACACCCAGAGAAAGTATTGCTCGATTTATGCAAAAAATTTTCGGAAAATTTCATAAACAATTTCCTTTACCGGATTCAAATTATAAAATATACGAAGCTTTTACTAAATCTCGAAAATAATAAAATAATTAAACGATACTTCAATGTAATGTTATGTCACGTGCTTACTCGATTATGACGCGAACCTATGCAGCCGTCTAGCCCTTTATACAAAACCCACGCAGGTCGAAGACAAAAGACAATTATGCGGATGAAGGCGGGTATTAATTTCGCTGGCCGTCTACCAGCGAAATTAATATTAAAAGTAAATTGTTACCAGAGCCTCTTTGGCCATCAGCTATTGCGACTGATGTTACCGCTTCCCGGGACGTGGACCCAGAGGTTGGATTTTGGGAAGCGTGTTCGTGTTGTGAAGCGTGTTCTTTATAGTGCACGTGAATAGAATCGTTGGTGATTGGATGCGACGAACGTATCGTTGTTTGAACTGTGTGTTTTAGTGTGAGGGATGTTGTTGTTTCTGTGCGTGGATGTGAATTACTAAACTAACGTAAGTACGACAAAAGGAAAAAATAAATAAAAAAACCTCTTGCCTTCTTACACTAGGTTAGTAAATTAAACTAAAACCTTAAATTTAAATGTAACTTCAGAAATAGCAAAGGAAAAAGTCGTTCACATCTCTTGCGAAGTGACGAGTTTTCCTTTGCATCCTTGCCCACACCGAACGAGAGGATTCCACTCGTTGGAAAAGGGAGAAATGATCGAAGCATTCCTTCCCTCCCAGTGCGGCAAAGATAATGTCGTCAACATGGAGACATTTCACTTTTAGGAACACGTCCGAATGGTGAAATGCCTCCTCTCCGTTCAACGCGGAACAGAGAATGCTGTGGACATCTGCTATTCCTGAAGGCGATCCCGTGAAGGAAGAACCCCTTCCGCGATCGATGGAAGAGAGTTCCTCTCCCCGCTGAAAGGGTGAAAAGGCCCCTCAGTTTATCGATTGCGGAAGGAGAACGCCCTTCACACATCATCTTCTTGGGCGGAGCCAACGCCAAAACCGCCAGCTCTTCATTCTGCAAAGAAACAATATATATATATTAAATTAATGGGATTCGGATATACTTAATGCAGAAAAAGTACGAGATTATACTCACGACGGATCGGAATTCGGATAGCTCGCGTTAGATCCTACCGGAAATTGCTAGAACGTTCGAACTGCGTTTGCAGTAGAGACGATTGACCCGGAACGAAGAAACTCACTTACGTGTAATTTGTATTTGTACGACAGAAAATTAAAGACACGCCGCAAGTAGCCACGCGGAAAAGGCACTCGTACTCGATCTTGAGCCCAAGTCGTAACAAGTGTTTCGTTCTAGAGCAATTTACCCTAACGTTCGTACAAACGGTACGTCACGTAAACGCAACGACGGCATTTAAAAGAGTTTCGTGCAAAGAAATTCCGAACGAATCGACGAAAACACAAAAACGTACGAAGAAGCGACAGCCGAACTCGCCATTCGGGACATGAACGTTTAAGTGACACAAAGCATTCGCAGAGAGTTACGTAAGTGTAGAAGATCGACCACCTTGTGGTAAGAGACAAACAGTCTAAGGAAAATAATTCTTTGTGTCCATCCTGTATAGATAATTGTTAAGTTTATTAGTATTAAATGTGTTTGCAGACAATTAAATTCTCGCAAAATAAGCCGTTGTAACTACTGTAATACATAAATTCAATGGAGAAGTCGGAGGTCAAAGGGCGAAATTTTTGACCTGTCAAAGAACATCCCATGCTTCAGAATACGGTCTCCGTCCATCAGACAATGTTACCAGAGTATATTTTAGTTAAAATTACAATACGCGTACGGTGGAATTCGTATTTTAAGTTAGTATTAAATAAGTTTTAATTGAAATTTTATAAATAAGATATTTTCAAATAATCCTTATTCTTTGACCGTGTTTATAAAATGTAAATCGATTAAATATTACCTAAATTAAGTAATTACGAAAATAAACCAATGAGCAAATACTTAATCCTCTGTGTCCGTC